ATAAGCTGCACAAATGAAAATGGTGGCCAAGAGCCATGGGAAATGTGACTTTTGTCCGAAACCTATGAATGATAACTAAATTTCATATCAGCAACATGAGCTCACTAAACAATTTTAGATTTGGTGAAGATGTGTTTAAATAATGACAGCCTGAAGAAGCCTGAAACAAGTCATTAAATCCATGGGGATCGGTGGTTTGATTTCATTTCCGTCCAGACGGAGGTAGCGAAGATGAGGTCCATAACTGAAGAAATCTTGTTCTGCAGGCAGTGTGGTAGGACATATTACAGAGACGTTCACACCTACAGAGACAAAGAGAGCATGAATGAATGAATCGGAACACAAGAGAGACTAGAGATGGGAACACCAAGAACACCAGGAAGCTATCCCAACCATCATTTGAAGAGCCTAGTGACCTCATGCCTGAAAGTGATAAAGATACAAACCTGCATGCATATCTGTTTTATAAGAGTAACCCTGAAAAAACGTGTAACGTACGTGTAGTCATCGCACTCCACATTCTGCTATACTTAGTATAGAGCACTAGAAAGGAAATATTAAGAGCCATAATAGAAAGAAAGGTGTGTAAGATACCACTTGTCTTGCAGGTGAGATAAAGTATGTTTAGATTACTGGAGGATGAGACAGGTAGTATTTAGGGTATTAGCGGGAAAGACAACAGTTTAGATCTGGTAAACAATAGCTAAGTGCAATGGTGGATGAATGGATGGATGGATGGCTAAGTAGAAAATCAGTCTAATGTAAGAGAAAGTTCTGGAAAATTACCTTAAAAGATATAAAATAATGTATGATGATGTATCCTCAAAAGAACAATTAACATAACTTTACATAAATAATTCCTCTTACAGACAACAACCTTAAATTTCCATACTTAAGTGCATTTAATTGGAAAGGAAACATTTGCCAGTAATTCAATTTCAGAGAATTCAAGCTGGGAAATATCCCATCAGCTCACATGGTTAGGCTGGGAGAAATTGTGCACCAGCATTGGATCAGAGCCTTTGGCATCCATGACTATACTGAGATTTAGGAACATTCATGAGCGATAGCCTGTTCAACTAGCAAAATTCAGAAAACTGTGTAAGAGCTATCTCAGCTATAGGTCCATATACTGCCTTTAAATCCCTTTTGGAAACTATTTTGAACAAGAGATTTTTTTTCTAATTAGACCCACCTAACATGGGCAATTCCTCTCTTCTGTGCCCTATAGTTGCATACAGATTCATATTGTACTGAATGATTTTATGTTTACAGCAAAGTTGCTTTGTTCTGACCTTACTCCATTTTGTGAATTCAACTTGACAAATAAAATGCCAACTTATATATGTAGAGCAGTTTTATGGTTATAATGTTATTTTTTCACATATGTCATCATCTTATTCTCACACAAGCTTTACCAGGCAACATTATTGTTCTCCACACCTGGGCTTTATGGGGACAGTTGTTCAGAGAGGTAAGGAAATGTACCCCAAGTATTTCAGCAAATGTGTCAGAGCTGAGGCCCAGCCTAGTTATTTTTTCTATTATACTGGGTCACTTTCATTGTGCTATCTCATTCTTATCAACCTCATACCCCATAATCAACGCATATCTTAATAAATGGAATATGGGGAAAAAATGTTCAAAATTTAATTACATTTTTCTAAATTAATTTTGATATTTGTCAGAGAACACTAGGAAGTAACTTACTTGAATAGATAACTTTTTTTAACCAAAATTTAAGTCCCTTAAGGTGTTCCCAGGACATAAATATTTCTATAATTTAACATGAGAAAAGTTTGCTGTCATCTAAATTCTGAGGACTCTTCATATAAAAGGTATGTTTTTTGGAAACTACTTCATTAACAACTGGAGTATATTATGTAGCAGAAAGAACTAAGTACTTTAACAGTTATTATAACATAGCATGATATAATTGTGAGCCAACTATTCCAGCCAGGGAAATTCTTATTTTATGTTAATTTTCTTGAAATATAAAAATGACAAGGTTTGATATCTACATTAAAAATCAAATAACTCAATTTCTCTTTGTTAATGTTGTTGCTATTCTAATAGTATTTTTTTTCTAAATTCTTATATTCAGGAGACTAAAGAAATGCATTGTTGTTATTACTGTATGAGTGGAAAAATCATTTAAAATGAAAAGCCCTGGCTCAGGTTCTGGCTATTGCATTTCNAAAAATCAAATAACTCAATTTCTCTTTGTTAATGTTGTTGCTATTCTAATAGTATTTTTTTTCTAAATTCTTATATTCAGGAGACTAAAGAAATGCATTGTTGTTATTACTGTATGAGTGGAAAAATCATTTAAAATGAAAAGCCCTGGCTCAGGTTCTGGCTATTGCATTTCCTATTTGTCCTTGGGCAGATATCATCACCTAACTGAGTTTCTGTTTCTGTTTTTTTGGAAGTTTCTAATATCACACAAAATTAATGAAAAGATTAATTAGTGGTTTTCGAATCGTGGGCCAGCTGCATCAATACTACCTGGGAAATAAATCGTTAGGTCCCACCCTAGACATACTGAGTCAGAAACTCTGGAGGTGAGGCCCAGCCACCTGTGTTTTACAAGCCCTCCAAGTGAATCTGATGCATACTAGCTCAGGAACAATTAGAAAATAGAAATATATGAGAAAACGCTTTGGAAAACTGGCCAAAATGTGAGTGGAAAATCAACAGAGTCAACTGTGTTCTGAATATTGCTACCTCACTCCTAAAAACCCTCATTCTAAACTTCTTAGGTTAGAATCCCTAATCCACAAAGAAGACTCTATGTGAAATCACTTGGAATTAATTTCCCACATCAATTGTCTGTGGGGCTTTTGTTGTCCTATAAGGAATACACCTGTAGTAGCACAGAACTCCCACAGGAAAAAAAAAATGCATATTTAGGTAAATACTGGCTAATGTACTATTTGGTTGGGCTAAACATTCATTTATTAGCATTTTTTTTTTTCTGTTTCATCTTTTGCTTTTGGCTACAGGGTTAAACAATATGTTTCATCACTGTGGAAAATAACTGCTGTGTCGGCAGCCTGCCATTTAACTCCTGGATTTTATGCTCAAGTGTGCTGTTATTAAAAGAAAAAAAAGAAATAAAAAAAATCTTGAATAGCTGAGCAGTAAGTATCCAGTGGAAAAATAGTCTGTTCTTATAAATGGTATGTTTATGTGATTATGTGCTTAAAAGAAACTTTAGTGAGCAATAACCAGGCAGCACAACTTTCTGACAATTATCTGTATTACTTTGTTAAAACCATTCCGACTCAATCTCACTTTAGGAATGCATTATATAGAGTTGTCCAGGAGAAATCTCCCCTGGATTATCTTCCTAAAGGGCTCGGACTGGTGATGAAGATGCACAGGAAGATTCCAGGCTAGGTGTTAGTATCCTTGGGCTAAACCAAGAGATGCCCACTTCTACACCAGCTCCAGCTGGCCTCAGGCATAATTGTGAAGATGCCAATGTCTCCAGCCTCTACTTTCTATAGCCACTTCTTCCCTTGATGGCACCTGTACCTCCAGGACTTTGCACTCATCCCTCACTCTCTTATCAAAAGCTATTTTCAGGAAAGAAGAGGGTTACCTATCTTGTTTGCTGCTAAGTCCCAGGGGGCTGCCAGCTACCAGGGGTATATTTTTTCCATTTCAATTAATCAGAGCCTTAAACTACAGTAGTGATTCCCAATGTGTGATTCCCAGAGCACCAGCATCACCTTGGAACTTGGTGGGAATGAAAATTCTTGGGTCCTACCCCAGACCTACTCGAATCAGAAATTCTGGGGGTGGAGCCACCAACCTATACACACTAAAGTTTGAGAAACCTATTCTAATTAGGGGTGTTCCAGGCATCAGCTGTCCTATATTCTTTAAAACAGAGATGTCTTTCTAATACCTCTGAAATCATATTCCCTCTGTTACCTTTTATGAGGCTGTTTGGGCCTGGTACACTTTCTCAAATAAGTCTACCCAGTGAGGAAGAAATAGCGGAATTGCCTCAAGTAAAAGAAGATAGAGACATTAAGTTTCTCCAATAGATAATAGCCCTCTATAGATTACTAGAATCCACCTTTTAATCTTTAGTTTGAAGATTTGATCTTCTTAGTTTATTAACACTGCCTGTGAAGAGACAAAATTTAATACAGAAAATTGAAAATACAGTGAAAAAATGAAGGGCACATTAGTTGGGGGAGGGGAACAGCACGATTGCTGTTCTTAAAGAAGATACAGAATACATTTAATGACCATGAGCGTGTTAGTCAAAGAGTCGCCCCCAATGGTTACTTACTTTTAATTTTGTTATGATCAAGGTGAAGGTGCTGCAGATAAGCGCTGATTCGGGGAAACTTTGTGAGATGATTGTGAGACAGTTGAAGATCTAGAATTGATGATACGTTAAAACCACTTGATGGCAGACCTGCATCTGATATTTTATTGTGGTTTAGTCTCAGGAAGGCCACTTTAGGAATCACATTAAAGTAATTTTCTGGTATCACTTCAATGGAATTGTTGTCTAAAAACAGTTGCATTGTATTGGCTGGTAATCTCGGTGGCATATTCCTTAATGCATTCTTGGCCATGTTTAGCTGCATGAGGTTCTTGAGTCCCTTAAAGGTGTCTCTTTGAAAGGCATTGTCTAATAGTTTGTTGTGCTGTAGATCAAGAAGAGTCAGGTTCTCCAGATTGCTGAAGGTCCCTTGAGGAATTCTGGACACTTTGTTTCTAGCTAATTGTAATTGCTCTAAACTTCTTGGCAATGGAGAAGGTACCTCATCTAGCTCATTATCTTCCAGAAATAAGAAAAGTAGCTTCTTCAGCTGGCTTAGGGCTCCTTTTTCAATTCCATAGTTAGTTATTTTGTTTTTGTTTAGATTTATCCATCTCAGCTGGGTGGCATTCTCAAATGGTTTCTCAGGAATAGTTTCTATCAGGTTGTTTTCAAGATAAAGATACCAGATCCTTGAAGGAATAGCGGGAATTTCTGTGAGACCTCGATTTTCACAGTATAAAGCAGTAGGGAAACTGGGGGGACAGTAACATTCCCTAGGACAATCGAAGTCAAGCATAGTCCATTGTTCTGGTTCATATACCTCATAGACCTGTCTCACACTTCGAGTCCATACAGTATCTGTTATGAATAACACCCAGATAATAAAACAGATTGTGGTTGCCATTATAGTACCTATAGAATAAGGGACAAGACTGTTAGATATTTAAGATCTTGACCTTTAGATAGCTGTTGTATGCATCAAAATGATAAGTAAACATTGCTTCTTCAGGGAAGAGGTGAAGGCATATAAACATTGCATATATAGGTATCAATTAATACACATTTATTCAGTAGGCACCATATGCAAAGCATTTTGCAAAAATTGAAATGAATTCACCAAATTGTAGCTTTCTGGTTTCAACCCAATCATAATAAAAATTGAGAAATAGAAAGCAAATTTTAGCAGCTCTAAGTGCTTTTCCATTTCAAGCTATTTAATTCAAGCAACTTAACTGAAACCAGCAGTTGAATATGAGCACAAAAAAGTGATCTTTTAATATCTCAAATTGAGAGTCTGTATTGTTTCTGAAAGGTAGACATATGCTTTTACTTTTACTCATATGAGAGGAGAACATCTGGATGAGATTTCCAAGGCTCTTTGGTCCTTGAACCAAAGAAATGAAGAGATCAAAGAATATTTTAGCAGTTTAATGTGAAGGAAGGTTCCAGGATCTGAGGAAAGGTGTATGATTAATCTTTTGTTCTGTTGCTCAGCTTCTCAGGTAAGTTTTATTTTGGTGGGATAAAGCCTTCTATAATCAAAAGTACAGAATCAACTTGTTCAGCCAAAAAAATGAATAATTTTGTATTTGCCAGAGAGAGAGAGTATTATTATGTAGAATTGAATGCATTATTTATGTATTATTATGGTTAATAAAGAATAGGTTACTACTTACTGATATTTGATATGCTTAAAACACACAAACCATCTCTGCTAAATACCATCAAAGATTATAGGTATAAAGAACTATTTTAACAGGAAATATACACATATACATGTATTATATATTTTAAACATACATTTATAGCATATATGTTACACACACACACACTCACACATGTGCACATATAAACAGTAATATTCTGACCAATGTACATTTAATTAAACCACTTGATAATAAGGACAGAATAAATTTCACTGATTCCTTAAGAAAAGATAAAATCAGCTTCATTTATGAAATGCCGATCTTTCAATTTTGACATTAAATTGCAGAAAACTACAAGTGCAGAGCTGCTTCCCCAAGCTGTCAAATTTCCTGGGATTTGCAGAATGCTACTCTGGCCATCTTCCAGCAGAGACACGTTCTTTTTTTTTTTTTTGAATAGAGATTTGTTTTAGTCATTCCAGTTGTAACCCTGCATCTGATGAACCAGAACTTTGAATTCTTAACTTTAAGAGTTTTTAAAAGTGCAAAATAGTTTTACCTTGCCTTCCAGGAATATATCGTTGAGTCCTGTGTCTGGGTCTGAAGTTTGCTAAAAATCAGTTAAGAGAAAAAAAAAAAAAACTTAACAAAAACAATTTGTTTTTCTTTTATGCTGTCAAGCCTCCTGTGAGAAAAAGTAAAACCTACTCTGACCGGTCACCATGAATACCTTTTGATCTATTGTTTCCACTCTGACGGGGTTTCAGAAGACAGCTTACCTCAGCCTTCTTGGATCTTCTTCTTCCTTTTCTATTGGTTACTGCTTGTTGTTGGTCACAGTAATGGATTGACCCAGGCTCCTCTGTCGTGTTTTTATGAGTCCTCTGTAATATACATGCACCAGTGGCTCCAACTTTAACCCCTCCAACAACTGCAGCACCTCAGTACCTAGGCAGCCAAACAAAGGAAATTCTTACTTTAATCTCAGGAACCCATAACAAAAATTCAGGGCAATTTTCACTCCTAATTCAGAGCTTCAAAGATGCTGTAATGTACTGATGTCTAGATCTGATCTACCAGCAGGCAACTGAAGACAGTTTTAATTTCAGGAAAAAGTTTAAAGTATTTTTATCTAGATGATTTTTTTTTTAATTGAATACAAGGGAATAAAGGCCAATGTCCTTTGTTTATGTGGACATGTTTTATTCATTTCTGATATAAAACAGATGCTGGAATGTGTTTGATTAAGGAAAAAAGAGATAGAAAAATATATTTGAAAAATTTTAAAATGGTATCTGAGAAACTATACATGATTTTGGTACTAAACATGGTATTATGCTTTGTGTTGTAGAAATAATTTTTTGTATCTTCACTTTCCACTCTATTTCTTTTATAATTTATTCCAAGTAAATGGGATTTTTTTTTTACTTATTATAATATCACACATGTTTTGCATTTAGTTCCTTACAAGACATTCTATTACACTGCTATTTTTTTTTTCTTAAACACATCTAAGAGTGTCTTCCATGTCTTATATTTGAGAAAAACATTGCTATGCCTCTTGAGGAAAGACACAAACAAAAAATATCTTGTTTTCAGACTTTGTTCTGTGGATTTCTTTTAATGCTTTTGTTTTTCAAAACCTACTTCATTCTGGGATCAATAAGTTTAGTTTATGTAACTCACACAACACTGCTCACAAGAGTATTATCAAAGATAGAGTACACTGAAGAGGAGAGAATGCTGGATTCAAAGGACTTCTGCTGAACTCTCTCTTTCCTCCTTCCTAACCATTAGTAGGTCAGTTAATGCTCAGTTTTGTCATCTACAAAATAGCAATGGACTACCTCATAGAGTTAGCCCTAGCTTGTCATAAGTGATTATTGAAACATTAGCCTTTCCTTAGCATTAGCCTGAGACTCTCAACTAAAAAACGTTGAGTGGCTTTACAGAATATGATCTGCTTCAGACATGATCTCTCAGTAGCCCATAGGTACACTCATATCATATTTTTAGAAAGCAACAAAGTGTTATCTGCTTTCTCATAACAATTATCTCCTCTCTCTACTGCATTCTTTTCCTTTTCTAGTTCTCTCTTCTTTATCCAAACCCTCAGGATTTAAACAACAGATGATCTTCAAATCTGTACAGCCCCCTCCAGCTAGTATCTTATCTCTCAGTTCTGTTTCTTAGTCAAACTGAGTTGTCCTGTCTTAATCTGATTACACAACTGTCAGCACCACGCTCAGCCAGTGAGCGAACCGGCCATCCCTATATGGGATCCGAACCCGGGGCCTTGGTGTTATCAGCACCGCACTCTCCCGAGTGAGCCACGGGCCGGCCCTACACAACTGTTGCTACATGTTCATTGCAGGAAAATTAGAGAAGTGTATTGGCGACCAACTACCTATTTCCTGTTCACCTTCCTACTCATGATCCATCCACCAAAATATGAATTCTGATTCTGCTTCCATAAAATTGCTCTGACGACAATCAGCAAAGGTCTTCATATTTACTCATCGATTGAAGTCTTTTAGTGTCTAGCTTACTTCACCTGTGAACTTTGACAGTTATGACCCCCCCTTATTAAATGTTCCTCTTAGTTTTTCTGACATGATTCTATCCCACTTTTTCCTCCCCCTTTCTGGTTACTTCTCTCTGTCTATAATCTGAAGCTCTCTGTTCACTCTTTCTAAATTTTTTTAAGTTTAATTTTAAATTTTTTATTAACACATTGTAATTATGCATATTTGTGAGGAACAGTCTGATGTTTCCATATACACACACACACACACACACACACACACACACACACATATATATATATATATATATATATATTATTTTATAATGATCAAATCAGGGTATTTAGCATATCCATCACCTTTTCATTTATCATTTTTTTTAAAAAAAATGTTTCTAGAACTAAGAGTTCTTTGAGATCCTGTCCTCTATTCTGTGTTCTTCTTGCTCTGTGCACACTTTCTGCACGATGCCATGGTTTCAATCATCCTCTCTATTATGACAACTCCCAAATTTATGTCTCCAACCCAGCCTCTGGAACAAGACCTGCACTCCAATGTCTGTGTGTATATCTGCTTTCTAGACATCTCCTGTTGCATGTTTCAAGGGCCTGTATCTAACAAGAAATTCACT